GACTGAGGACAGACTGGAGACAGACTGGAGACAGACTGGAGACAGACTGAGGACAGACTGGAGACAGACTGGAGACAGACTGGAGACAGACTGAGGACAGACTGAGGACAGACTGAGGACAGACTGGAGACAGACTGAGGACAAACTGAGGTCAGACTGGAGACAGACTGGAGACAGACTGGAGACAGACTGAGGACAGACTGAGGACAGACTGGAGACAGAATGGAGACAGACTGGAGACAGACTGGAGACAGACTGGGGACAGACTGGAGACAGAATGGAGACAGAATGGAGACAGACTGAGGACAGACTGGAGACAGACTGAGGACAGACTAGAGACAGACTGAGGACAGACTGGAGACAGACTGAGGACAGACTGGAGACAGACTGAGGACAGACTAGAGACAGACTGAGGACAGACTGGAGACAGACTGGTGACAGACTGAGGACAGACTGAGGACAGACTAGAGACAAACTAGAGACAGACTGGAGACAGACTGAGGACAGACTAGAGACAGACTGAGGACAAACTGAGGACAAACTGAGGACAAACTGAGGACAGACTGGAGACAGACTGAGGACAGACTGGAGACAGACTGGAGACAGACTGGAGACAGGCTAAGGACAGACTGAGGACAGACTGGAGACGGACTGAGGATGGACTGAGGACAAACTGGAGACAGACTAGAGACAGACTAGAGACAGACTGAGGACAAACTGAGGTCAGACTGGAGACAGACTGGAGACAGACTGAGGACAGACTAGAGACAGACTGGAGACAGACTAGAGACAGACTAGAGACAGACTGAGGACAAACTGAGGTCAGACTGGAGACAGACTGGAGACAGACTGAGGACAGACTAGAGACAGACTGGAGACAGACTAGAGACAGACTAGAGACAGACTGGAGACAGACTAGAGACAGACTAGAGACAGACTTAGGACAAACTGAGGTCAGACTGGAGACAGACTGGAGACAGACTGAGGACAGACTGAGGACAGACTAGAGACAGACTGGAGACATGTCCAAGTGTCCCTGTCTCCCACAGTGACTGCTGGACACATAAACCAGAGACTAAGAAGGGAAGAAGTAAAGACGATGGACCTGGGACATTTGACAGAATTCTGTC